CTCTCTTCTTTTTCCATACCTTCTGGGCTCCCTACCCTCACCAATCTCCCATCTGATCAACCATGGAACCGTTTTAAATTCTGCCTTACTATTCCAGCAACCATCACAAGCCAGGCCTCTTGTGCCACACAGCCAAGTTGTGGATGCACAGGAAAAGTTCTTGAAGTAAATTAAGTGCTACTCCAGTGAACACAGGGATGATGTGAAAGCAAAACAGCCTAAATAGCCTAATGCTGATATGGACAAAGTCTGAGTGTCCGGATAGAAGATCAAACCAGCCACAACATTCCCTTAAGCCAAACGAATCCAGAGCAAAACCCGAACTCTCTTCAACTCTGTGAATGCTGACAGAGGTGAGGAAACTGCAAAAGAAAAGTTTGCAGAGGTCGGTTCATGAGGCTTGAGGAACAAAACCAGCCCCTTAACATAAAAGTGCACAGAGAAGCAGCAAGTGCTGATACAGAAGCTGCAGCAAGTTATCCAGAAGATCTAGCTGAGATAACCGATTAAGGTGGTTATAATAACAACTGGTTTTCAATGTTGAGAAAACAGCCTTTTATTGGAAGAAGATGCCATCTAGGACTTTCATAGCCAGAGAGAAGACAATGCCCAGCTTCAAAGCTTCGAAGGACAGGCTGACTCTCTTGTTAGGGGTTAGCTGGTGACTTTATGTTGGAAGCCAACGCTCATTTTCCATTCCAAAAGTCATAGGGCCCTTAAGAATTATGCTACATCTACTCTGCTTGTGCTCTACACATGGAACAATAAAGCCTGGATTACGGCATACTTACAGTGTGGTTTACTAAATATTTTAAGCCCACTGTTGAGACAAACTGCTCAGAAAAAAAAGATTACTTGCAAAATATTACTGCTCATGGACAATGTACCTGGTTACCTAAGAGCTCTGACTGAGATGTACAAGGGGATTAATGTTGTTTTCATGCCTGCTAATATCCATTCTGCAGCCCATGGATCAAGGAGTCATTTTGACTTTTTGTTGTTGTTGAGGTAGAGTCTCGCTCTGTCCCAGGCTGAAGTGCGGTGGCGCAATCTCGGCTTACTGCAATCTCTGCCTCCCAGATTCAAACGATTCTTCTGCCTCAGCCTCCCGAGTAGCTGGGATTACAGGCGCATACCACCGTGCCCAGATAATTTTTTCTATTTCTAGTAGAGATGGGGTTTCACTGTGTTAGCCAGGATGGTCTTGATCTCCTGACCTCGTGATCTGCCTGCCTCGGCCTCCCAAAGTGCTGGGATTACGGGTGTGAGCCACTGCGCCTGGCCCATTTTTGTCTTCTAAGCAGAAAATGTATTCCTTTATTTAAGAAATACATTTTGCAAGACTATAGCTGTCATAGGTAATGATTCCTCTAATATATCTGGACAAAGTAAACTGAAACTCTTTTGGAAAGGATTCACCATTCTATATGCCATTAAGGACATTTGTGATTCATAGAGGAGGTAAAAATATCAAGATTAACAGGAGTTTGGAAGAAACTGATTCCAACCCTCATAGATGACTTTGAGGGTTCAAGACTTCAGTGGAGGAAGTCACTGTAGATATGGTGGAAACAGCAAGAGCACTAGAAAGACTAGAGGTACAAGTGGATCCTGAATATGGGACTGGATTGTTGCAATCTCATGATAAAACATTAACAGATGAGAAGCTGCTGCTTCTGGATGGGAACAGAAAGTGGTATCTTGCAATAGAATCTACTCCTGGTGAAGCTGTTGTGAGCACTATTGACTTGACAACAAAGGATTCAGAATATTACATAAACTCAGTTGATAAGCCGGCGGCAGGGTCCGGGAGGACTGACTGCAGTTTCAAAAGAAGTTCTACTCTGGGTAAAATGCTATCAAGCAGCATTGCATTGCTACAAGGAAATCTTTCATCAAAGGAAGAGTCAATCAATGTGGCAGACTTCACTGCTGTCTTATTTTAATTAAGAAATCGCAGCCGGGCACGGTGGCTCACGCTTGTAATCCTGGCACTTTGGGAGGCCGAGGCGGGAGGATCATGAGGTCAGGAGAGCGAGACCATCCTGGCTAACACGGTAAAATCTCGTCCCTACTAAAAATACAAAAAATTAGCTGGGCGTGGTGGCGGACACCTGTAGTCCCAGCTACTCGGGAGGCTGAGGCAGGAGAATGGCGTGAACGCGGGAGGCAGAGCTTGCAGTGAGCCGAGATCGCGCCACTGCACTCCAGCCTGGGCGGCAGAGTGAGACTCTCTCAAAAAAAAAACAAGAAATCGCCACAGTCACCCCGGCCTTCAGCAACCACCACCCTCAAATAAGTCAGCAGTCATCAGCAGGGATGTAAGACCCCATGCCAACAAAAAGCTGATGACTTACTAAAGGCTCAGATGATCACTAGTGTTTTTAGCACTAAAATATTTACTTGTTTAGGTATATACACTTTTTTAAGAAGCAGTGTTACTGCACACAGTATAGTGTGAACATAATTTTTATATGCACTAGGAAACAAAAAAAATTATGTGACTTACTTTATTGAGATATTTGCCTTACTATAGTGGTCTGAAACCAAACCTGCACTATCTTTGAGGTGTTACTGTAGATAATCATCCAGTATAATTTTTTGGTTAAATATATTTCATTTGATCATCTGTAAAGCTGGTATTATAGCTCTATTTATCCTAATATTCATGAAAGTCTGCATCATGTCTTATATTCCTATTAGATGGAAGTTAATATCTGTATTCATAACAGAGAAACTGAGGCAGGAGCTAACAAAGCACATGCATCAGGGATACCTGAAAGATACTTTCCCTCGTCAAACTGAAGACCAAATATGCCATATCTCGCTTATATACTTTATATTCTAAATGGAGCTTGCTTTTGTGCTTTAAATTTAAATGCAGGTAAACAGTTACTATGTACAGATGAACAAAGTGCTGATCAAGTGAAATAGTCCTAAATTCCAACAGAAAGACTATGCTAAAGCATAAAACATTTTTATAATACATTAAAACTCATTTTAATGAATTGAAAAATATTATATTTTTCAAATAAAAGTGTCTTTACTACTCTTCAAATATTGCTCTTAGCACAGGAGTCTTTTAGGTGACAGCAGTAGTTCATGTAAATAAATAAAATTATTTATCATATTCTACTTAGTTTGTGATTCACAGCCATTTGAAAATGAATTTTCTCACACTAAGCAAACTTATCACTGCCCTATAGAAAATTACATATCAACATTTCCTTCCATATTTTGTATTTTTCCTTCTTCCTTCCACTACCCTCCTTTTTTCCCCATATAAAATAAAACAAAAAAACCCCCTTCTCTAGCTTTGAGATATATGTCTGGAAAGTATATCTTGAAAAATTAAAATCCCAAAGTCAAGTTTTATTAGCATAGTGCTACTGACAAACTAGAGGGATAAGGCATGAACATCACTGGAGGTTAAATAGCCTGGCCTTAAAGTCCTGCCATAGATAATAAAAAGTACACATTGATAATAGTAACACTATGCACATAGCAAAATAGAACCAAGTGAAAATACAGTGTATAACCTTATTCCCTCTTCTGTTCGTATCACAACTGTTTTTGTATTTGAGGGTAGGGAAGTGTATTTGGCTCAGAAGAAGGGTTTTAGGCTTTCTAGTTTGGGGTAGAGGGAGCTTGAGAGAGGAGGCCTCCTGCCAGGAGGCATCTAGACATACAGGCACCACTGGATCTTTATATGGACGTCTTTTTCAAGGGAAGGGGAAATATGATGAGACAAAAGTAAGACCTGTGGTTGCTAGCTGAGCCTGGAAGTACAAAAAATGTGTCAAGTTGCTCTCTCTACAAGCATTTTGTCGGCCCATAATGATCCATGGATGCCAAAGCACATATATGCCTTTCCTCTAACTAGAACTGGCTTAAAATGCTTCAGTAATTACTCTCCTAAAAAGCTATTTGTATGTTAAAGCAAAAATGTTTTAAGCAGCACAATGAGATTAGAAAGGCATGTTTTCTCCAAGAATAAAAGCAATGACAAGTGAATAGTCTTTAAAAATAAAAAACTAAACATCAAACCAATGAGCCAGAAAAAACACAATTCACAGAAGTCAATGAAATAAAGAAAAAAAAGATGAACATTAAGATAGAGTAAAAGTTTGTTGTTTTTTAAAACCATCTATGAAATATTATGTATAAACTCTTTAATAACGTTCTCAAGTATACAACTTGAAGATTAAGGTCATAAAGACAGAAGTAAGCTTAGTATGTACACAGTGAAAATGTTTAGGTAACAAATGGTATAGTGCAATAAAATTTAACATCTCACAAACTTTAAACAAAAAATCCTTATATTTTAAGTACTATAACATCTGCTTGAGTATAATCTCTCTTCAAAGTTCAGCCATAGTAAGTTATTAATTATGTTATTAATTAAAAATCATCTGCAGCATAAATTTTATTTTTTGTACATAATCTAAATCTAAAAGTTACTATAAAAATATTTATTTAATCTTCAAAATAATCATATTTTGTTTTACTTACTAAAGGGTTGAACTGACCATGCTTAATGAGCTCATAAAAGTATGAGTAAAAATCTGCTTACCCTAATTCTCTCCAGAGAGCATTAGCCACATCTCTAACACGTATACTATTACATCTTTGGAAGTTTAAAGGAAAGTAATCCATAAATTGCCTGCACAGTTCTTAATTATGTAGATCTGATACTGCCTCCCTTTCAAAGTTATACTTACTTATCACCATCTATAAAAGAAACTCTTAAAAAGGGAGGAGAGGGGAGAGAGAAAAGGTCAAAATAAATCAGTTCTACAATATGTTAGTGGCACAGGTATAGAAAAAAAAGGAAAAAAGTTGGATAGAGAGTAATACTACTAACTAAACAGAGTTCACAGTTATCTGTGAATTTCAGTTCTTAGACTACTAGTAAAAATGAAGTACAAGCTAAACTCTGTTACCAAGTTGTAACGTTCTTAGAAATTTTCAGTTCTTAAAGGTAAGTTCTGAAAACCAACCTGGCTATCTCTTCTCGATGAGCAGTCCAATCTCGGATGTAGTCTTCCTGCTCTTTAATCCGGTGCTTGAATGAAGAACTAGTAGGCATTGCTGATCCAGCGCTCTGCAAGCGAGTGGTTTTCAGGGCTGGAGAAGTACGTAGACGGGTATGTTTAGGGGAATTACGGTTTGATCCAAATTCATCTTCTGAGGTGGAAGCATAATCAGTAGGAAAGCGCCTCCATCTTGAATTTACTAAATTAGTTTAATTATTAAAAAAAGAATTATTATGTTATCATTTAAAGGAGGTAAAAGTCATGACTTCAAAACACCATGAGAGCGCACACACAGCACAATTTTCAAAAACTGACATACACATACCTCACAAAAACCATAAGTCTACTACTCCTTAGAGATAGAAACATTACACTTTGGTGAATTAAAAACAATGAAGAATCAAAAACATCGAAAGACCATGTTTTCCATAGTGTGGTGAATAAACATTCAGATGAAAAATTTCACTAATGATAAACAACTAAGCAAGCTCTATCCATCGATGTTTAACTGGAGCACTTTTCAATTGCAAATATTTCTTATTTGAGTGAAAATATGAATTTTTCCAAAAAAAAAGACAGTAACAACATCAACGACAACAAAAATAAAAACAAGGGAAAAGATTTCCTCATGCCACACGGACTTTCAACATGGAGATGGTAAAAACTCTCTTTTCCCAACACACAGACGTGCATAATTCCGGCTGTGGAAATTATGCCTTTATGGCAGAAAAAAAAAACATTACCTCTGTCATTCAACATCCTGTTACGCTATGGTTGGAAAAAATCTTTTTACATGGTAAAAAACACAACAAAGCATCTTCAGTACAACTCTCTGCTGCTTTGACACTGAAAGCATATGGTGAAAATAGACAATGGCATAAAATCTACAAAAAGCAAAACTCTACAAGCTTTTGTCACAACCATTGACATTGAAGGCACAGGAGATACTGTGAAGAGTTACATTAAAGAAAGTGGCAATCACTTTCTTATTTACAGTTAGTAAAGACATTTAAAAAATGGCATTGCTGAAACATTTAAAAAATCAGAAGACAAAGCAGACACTTTACTACTGTTAATATGAGAATCAAACATACAAATAATTTGTGAAGCATCAATAGAGGTAAAAAAGAGAAATAAAGGCTAATTCCTGGTAAACTTCACAAGGGCAGGAACCATGTCTGTTTAATCCAGTAACATATATCTAGCACTTAGCTGAGTGTTGGCTAGCAAATTTTTAACAAATATTTTGGAAAAAATGTAAGAATTCCTGGATATAAACACTTACTTTTCCGAAACCTAGTGAAAAGCATTAAATGTTATCGGCGTTTTAAAGTAATAAAACCTTAGCATCTTTTTCCTTTTCAATAGAAACTGACCCTAAGCTGCATAGAACCCAGAAGTTCCTCCACTCGAATTTTATGCCTTCTATGTCTTTTCCTTCAAAAAGTACATTTTTACCTGGGGATCTCTAAGGCTGAGTTTGCTCTCAGATAAAACTGGCATACCTTGCCACCAGAACCAACTTAAGAAACAGAGAACTCTAGAATGAGGAATATGCCATAAATTAGAGCCTATCGATCTGTGCTCATTCACACCCCTATCTGGAGATCCTGATGTTTGGAGCGACATTCATTCATAGATATGAGAGAATGAACATATGCAGAAAGTTCATGGTTCTCTGTAAAAGTGTATGCAAATGCATATACTAGGTAATTAGTCATAGATTTTTTTTGAGGAGCTTAAACATAATTTCTGATTTTAACATTGTAAGATAATTTATTAACATAGATACTATTTTTACCATGGTGATAATGTACTCATTTCTAGATATAAAAACTTCCATGAGTTGAAGTGATCCTGAGACTTGAAACCAATTTTAGGAAAAGTTTAGGAACAAGAGTAAAGAGGTTTAGAAAGAATTAGAAATATGGCAGGCAAAATCAGAAATACTGTAAACAAATTTGTACTTCTCAAAAAAGTGTTTCATTAAATGCTAAATGTGTGTTTTTTTGCTATCTTACAATAGTGTTCATAAGGAAAAAAAAATCAATTGTTACATCAAATTTCCTGATTTTTGATTAGGCAACTATGGTCACCATACATATGATTGGAAACTAGAGAGAAAAGAAAAGCAATTAACAAAGAGCTTTAATAAACTGGAGAACATATGAAAACATAAGTATGATAAAACTAAGACAGTTAATTTCGAGGTAACTTAGAAAGAATGGCATTGATGGCTGAGAAAGAATGGCATCGATGGCTGACTACATGAAAGCAGAATGAGAGACTGAGTGCCAAGTACTGTTAATATATGTTAAATGTCAGGTGACCACATATAAGCAGAGCCATGCTAGAATTAACTTTAAATAGTCTGAGCTTAGGATCAAAAAGCAATTACATTTTGAGGAAAAAAGTAAGAGAAAAACTTCCTTTTCACAAACTTTCCATCTCTTTTCATAGGTTGGTCTACCTAGAAGTCAGTAAGAATAGTAAAGCTACTAATAATATCTTTTAAAAGCAATCAGAGGCCGGGTGCGGTGGCTCACGCCTGTAATCCCAGCACTTTGGGACACTGAGGCGGGCGGATCACAAGGGCAGGAGGTTGGGACCCTCCTGGCCAACATGACGAAACCCCATCTCTACTAAAAATACAAAAATTAGCCAGGCGTGGTGGTGCATGCCTGTAATCCCAGCTACACGGGAGGCTAAGGCAGGAGAATCACATGAACCCAGGAGTCAGAGGTTGCAGTAAGCTGAGATTGCACCACTGACTCTGGCCTGGTGACAGAGCCAGACTCCGTCTCAAACACAAAAAGAAAAGCAATCAAAAGAATACAGCATATTTTAAAAAGTAAAAGGTAACATCTTTAGGTACGTTCTTTTAAAATTGAGGAGGAAACTGGATAAAATAATCAGCATATAGCACAGAAATAAAAATGTGATTAAAAATTATTAAGTAATTAAGAGCTCCCTTTGCCAGTGGAAAACATATCACACACGGTGTACTATGAAGAAAAGCTCCAGTTACCTCTGGACACACTGAGTCTGTGTAACAACAAACAGCAGAGCAGAGACTGAGTGAAATGATGGCTACTGGTGGAGAAGGAACTGGGAAAGGGAGTTCAATGCAAGGCCCTTTAACCTATTATTTCTCAAAGAATTAATTTCAAAACTTTTTGCTTTCTTAACATTTGCTTCCAAACTATACCAGCTACCCAACTTTTTTTTTTTTTCCCTAAATTCTCTACCACCCGCTAATTAACACCAAAGAAACTTCAAGTTAAAATATTTTAACTTTTCCCCCATCTACTTATTTCATAGAATTTTGGAACCGAATGACCTTTGACATGAGTCTAAATTCTTCCATTTACATTTACAGAGAAGAAACAGGCCCAGAGAGGTCTTACCTTGCTAAAATCACAGTATAAGCCAGGTCTATGGACTCCCAGACTTCAAAACTAATTCTCTGAGATTCCAAGTGTTGTATACATTCTACACTTTTGTTTCCAGTAAGTTTTTTTTTTGAGATGGAGTGTCCCTCTGTCACCTGGGCTGGAGGGCAATGGCGCCATCTCGGCTCACTGCAACCTCTGCCTCCCAGGTTCAAGCGATTCTCCTGCCCTCAGCCTCCAGAGTAGCTGGAATTATAGGCACCCGCCACCATGTCTGGCGAATTTTTGTATTGTTAATAGAGATGGGGTTTCACCATGTTGGCCAGGCTGATCTCGAACTCCTGACCTCAGGTAAACTACCTGCCTCAGCCTCCCAAAGTCCTAGGATTATAGGCATGAGCCACCGTGCCCAGTCAAGTTGTTTTAAAAAGACAATCTAAATTTCTCATGTAATGATAGTTTTTCTGATTTCTGATTTCTACCTGTGTTGAAGAAAAACTTTTTCTTTTGAATTTTATTCAGCTTAAGTAACAATTTATAAAAATAAATTAGATTTTCTTAATATATTATTAGGCTCATTTGATGGGTTGATATTACTAAGGCATTTAAAGGTGTTTGAAACGCCAATCTCTAAGAGACTTATTGGTTAGTAAAGGCCTAGACAGCATATATATTAAAATGAAAGTTCCAAGATGGGCTTGATTAAGCTCGTAGCTAGAGCTACAGCATTCATTACAAAATTTAGTTTTTAATTATAAAATAGGCAACATTCCCTCTTGTGTTGTAGTACTAAACTACTATATTCACTACAAAAACATACTATCATTTATGATGTCTAGAGAATTAAAAAGGAAAAAAAGAGTTGTTAGTATCGTATTTCTGTGACTGTTCCAATTTCTTTGTTGGCATTAAAACGTGCAACTATAGATTTTGCAAACACACTTCAGAAAACACACATTGCATCTTCATACTATATCAGAATATTTTAGTGGAAAATTACCACAAACATGTTTTGCATGTATATTTATGAGCATGCAGCAATAAGATCAGTTGGGGAGAAAAACTGCTGACAATGCTCTGTTTTGTCCTTTGACCTGGAGAAAGTGTTAATTCAAGCCATGCATGTCCAACATTTAATTTCTACTGCCTATAAACTGTGAAGATTAGAATTAAAAAGGGACAGCAAACAGTCTAAAAAATTTTTAAGGATATTAACATAATGTTTTTATTTTCTAAAATGTGCACTTAAAAAATAATGAAAACCAAGTGCTTTATTTTGATAATTCAAGGTCTTTAAATTTAAATATATCTTGCCAAAATAAATCTGGATATCTCAGTTACAACTTGGTATCAAGAATCACTGAAGGAGGCCAGGTGCCTGTAATCCCAGCACTTTGGGAGGCTGAGACAGGAGGACAGATCAGCCTAACCAATATGGTGAAACCTTGTCTCTACTAAAAATACAAAAAATTAGCCGGGCCTCGTGGCACACGCCTGTAATCCCAGCTACTTGGGAAGTTGAGGCAGGAGAATCACTTGAATCCGGGAGGCAGAGGTTGCAGTGAGCTGAGATCATGCCATTACACTCCAGCCTGGGCAGCAAGAGCAAGACTCTGTCTCAAACAAACAAACAAACAAACAAAAAATCATTGAAGGAATGTTTTGGGGAAAAAAAAACTAGTTAAACTCCCAGAAGCAAATTGCAAATTACATCAGAGAAACATAACAGAACTCTTCTCTTAATGCTAAATCTGAGATTTCCAATCTTCTATTTTTATTACACGTTACTTTAAAAAAACTCTTTTTTTTTTTTTTAAATGGAGACAGGGTCTCACTTGTCCCAGGCTGGAATGAAGTAGTGTCATCACAGCTCACTGAAGCCTTGAACTCCTGGGCTCAAGTAATCCTCCAACTTTGCCCTCCCCTAAAACACTGGGATTACAAGCAGGAAACACTGTGCTGGCCTAAAACTATTTTAAAGACATCATCTAAAATATGGAATTGGAAACATTACAGAATTATTTTTACATATCCAATTGGGACAATATCAAAGGTGCTAAGTTCAGATTATTTCCAAGGTCTTTAAAGTTTATACCGTGCACAGCAACACTGATCAGTATGATTTAACATTCTTTTAAGTCATGTTTCAAAAGATAAAAATTTTCTTTTTTTTTTCCATTCAAAATAGTATAATTATCTTAAACAGAAATGTTATAATATCAAAGGCACCTAAATTAGCAAAATCAAACAGGTATGTTTGTTCGTTTGTTTGATGACCTTCTCCATACAGCTATTATAGTACGTTCACACTGAATGAAAGATCCTGGCTACTGTCCTAGATAAGATGTAATACTATAAATGGGTACCTTGAGAGAATCTGAATATACAATCCCAGATTACAATGTGGCTTTATGCTCATAAGGTGGAATAGAGAATATAAACTGGGTAAAACATCAGAATTGCAAAGATTTTAGTAAACAATACCAAAACCTTTATATGGTATATTGACCTTGCATATACTCCTGATAATAATCCAGTAGATTCCAGCTGTCTTCTGGAAGCTTGCATACAAGTAAACACTCAAACTCTTTCTTAGAGCTAGAATAAATATGGCAGAACAACAACAGGCTGGGGATTAAAAGCCTTTGATTCTCATTCCACCCCTGCCACAGCCATGTGCCCAGGGCAGGTTATTTCCTCTCTTGGCCTCAGTTCCCTTAAGGGAATAACTCTTCTAACTCTTAAATTCCATGATTCTCATTATTTAATATACTGCTAGTAAGTATGAAAAGACCAAAATCATATACTTCAATTTGTCCTAGGGAATTTCATATACAATTCAAGGTTATTTTTGGACACAGAAAACTGAATATTTATCAAGTTCTGTATTCAAAGAAGCAGAAAATGAAATGTAGCTTTATATATAGCATCTTACAGTTGTTTCTTAGGCTTGCTGAAGTAATCATATTTAGCTTGGATCTCAAGCCTTATCCTAAATATCAAGGAATAAAACCACATCATGTGTTAAGAGGTACTCCAAGCTACCTGGTAACACAGAAATTATGTTAAGACAGGAAAATACACACATATCTTAATGGAGATGAGGTGATAAAACACGGAGTATAGCAGAAGAAATTTCTTCAGGAAATGCAGCACAGATGAAATGTGAATTGAAGAAGTAGAACCATAAGCAACAACAGAATGAAAAAAAAAACCAAAATAGTTACTTTTAAAATATTTGGCAATAAATTTATGAACCACCAACCAAAGCTTCAAGTGTGGAAATGAGGACTGGGGTAATAAGGAAAATGTTGTCTAATTTTTTTTTGGAATCATGATTATATGTTATCCGGCTTCAGCCTACATCCATTTCTACCATAGACAGTGACCATCATTACCAAACCCACTGACCAGCAAAGAGAGAGAGGTGAATGGAGTGGAGGAAAGCAGCAGTGAAAAGAGGAAGAAAAGTGAAAAAAGTATCATATGCAAAGTACCGTTCCTTTAGGGTCTTGTAGGATATAGTGTGGTAGATGTAAACCAATCAAAAATAAAAAGATGAAATTTCCTATCAACTTCCCCTCCACTTTTAACTCAAGACTTAGGGCTCACTGAGATGCCTGCCTACTGAAAATCATCACGCATCTGCAAGCCTGTTATAACAGCTGGCCTCCCACACTGGCCTTTGCAGCCACGCCCACATAGGAGGCTCATTATGAAGTAATGAGAACAGGCTTACAGGATACAAACAAATATCCACCTCATGACTCTTTGGTCACACATGTCTCTCAATGGCTTCAGCTCTGAACACAAAGTATGTAAGCAAACAAATATAACAACATCAGTTAAATTCTGGTGGAGAGTAAGTAGTTTTTGTAGTTATTATATTCAATTACACCTAATTACTAGAGTTAAACGATGTAACAGCACTTTTTGAGATAATGCTCATAACCAGTTAAATTTCTACAGCCCAGTTTGGCCAACATATGCTGAGTGATTCCCCATGAATCCATCTTCTTCCACTGAAATAAATTAAGGGTTAGTTTTCACCTGCTCCAACTATAAACAGATTTAACTTTAAAAAGTATAGGTAAAGTATGTGAGACATTTCAAAATAGGTAGGGGAAAAAAAGAACAAAACATTGATTATTTAACTCTGAAAGAAGTAATGAAGCATATGCTGCTTTTCTTCAAGTTCTTAAGGGCTTTGAATTATGTGAGGATATTTAAAGGTTAAACACACGCTTTTAGAAGCACAATGTTAATTCCTATACTTTAAACCAGATAATGCCAGATAATCTAATTTTGACACACACACATCCAAATATATCACCAACTGGAGAATTAAAACTCCTAAATCAGCTCAATGAATTCCTAATTTTGAAATCACTATTTTGCCTTAGGACTTTAATTGGAAGTATATATAACTTCTGACTTTTCCATTTACTATGCTACATAAAACTATTTCACGGAACCTCCCCCGCCACCTCATATATCATAACTTTTGTTTTGAACGAGTATCTTGGGAAGACAACTAGACATTTTTTTTTTTTTTAAAAAAGGAACCCCAAAATATACAACATGCTAATGCTATTAGAAATCTGGATCCAATTTACCTGAAGCAGAGCCATGAGCTGAGGTCATACTTTTGACCTTGGAGTCTGAGAGTCGAGAGATACTATTAGCTCTAATTCTAGGAGAAAATTTATCTGATGGTACTAATCTGGCTCCACTTCTAATGATGGCTTCTGCGGTCCTCGAAGAGGCACTACTTCTAGAAATTGTTGCTTCAGAGTCACTACGAGCTGACAGTGAGCCAAGTCGTGTTCTACGAGGCTGAGCCAATAAATCAATCCGAGAGATGTTACGCCTTCCTGTGGGAGGTTTTGATGTAGAACTTGTTGTGGATACTTCAGAAGCAACAGATGCTTTGTCAGCATCGGCAAGTTCACTGTCTGAAGCTTCACCAAGTCGTGCTCTGCGCAAGAGGGAAGTCCTGGTAGGTCGTGGCCTTGGAAGGGTGGTCGATTTACTGGATGAACCAGATACTACCGGAGAAGTCTTAGATTTCGTTACTTTACTTCCTTCCAGTTTGGAATGTACATGCTCATCAGCTGAGGTAAGTGGAGTCCGTCCATGAGGTTTACAGGAGTAAGTTTCTTGATCAGATGACATAATATCAGAGATGGCAGAATGAGGTACACTAGAGGTTTGATCATCATCGGTTAGGTCTACCGAAGGCTGTCTTATTCTCCCACTGGATTGAACAAATTTACGACCATCTGCTCTTGAACCCACATCTGTGGAACGACTTTTTGTTTTCTTTTCCATTTTTTCCCTAGTACCTGAAGATGACGATTTTGTAACATCTTTGGAAGGAGAACCTGTGGAACACCTATCTTTATAGAGGCTAGTGAAACTCTTTCGCTTTTGGGTTGATTTTCTTTCAGTTTCTCCAGTAACCAGACTGATAGTACTAGCTGTATCTACATCAGATTCTGGTGAAATAGAATTGTCTCTATTATAACTGGGAGTGTCTGGTCCTTCATCAGTTTTATTATCTTCACGTAGTTTAGCTTCTAGAAAAGCCATGACTGCTTCTGTGTCTTTTAGAATAAGGGTTGTGTCCATACTAGAATCAGGATCTAAAGACTCACTTCTTTCTCGTATTCTACTTGCAGATGTTAATGCTAAAGAAGAAGGAGTAGAGGAAGTCTGTTTATTTATATGGGGAATAAGTTCTATGGGTATGTTTGGGCTGGGTTTTTCTATAGTGAAGCTCCCTTGTCGCACTAATGACTTGGAGGATTCCTTCTTGTCTCCTCCCTTTGGAGTCTGACTTTTCAGAATTTCCTCAGCTTTTCTTCTTTTGCTCTCACTTTGTGCCACTCTGTCTCCTTTGCTTGTAGAATGTCCTGAATTTTTTTCTGGAGGTTGTGATTCTTGTTTAAAAGGTTCCTCCCTACATTTATCTGTCTGACCTGAAACATTTTTGGAAGACAATTTAGTAGGTGTCCACTGAGCCTCCTCCCTTTGTTCTTGTTGTTGAAGTTTTGCTAATGTTTGCTTTACCAAAGAAGTTTCCTTATCAGGTTCGTTTTTCTCCTTTCCAGGAGCAGAGCTGCCTAAGTGAAGTAGGGTTTTATTATCTCCACCAGTTTTGAGAGTCTCTCCATTTACTGCCCTGTTCATTTTACTCAAGGGTCTGTCGGCATCTTGTTTATCTTTCTGGTATACCTGTGTAGGTGCTTCTTTCTCCTGAAGTTCTGTGTCTTGTTTTTCTCCTATCTCTGACCTCTGTGTTATAACTTTTGCTCTGTGGCTCTCAAGAGACTTTTCTTCATTTGGAAGCTGGGGAAGAGTTCGTCTCCTTCTCTCTCCCTGGCTAGCCAAGGAAGTTGCAGAGCCAGTACTTCTCACTGTCATGCCAGACTCACTGATCTCTGTCTCTATAAAATAAAAACCACAAAGAAGGAATTGGTTAAGACAAAAAAATAAAAATAAAAGGAGCACCCTACAGTTGCCTGTCAGTATCCACGAAGACTGGTTCCAGACCCCTTCTTCCCCCAGGATACCAAATTCCAAGGATGCTTAAGTACCTTATATAAAGTGATGTAGTATTTGTATATAACCTACTCACACCCTCCCATATACTTTAAATCATGTCTAGATTACTTATAATACCTATTACAATGTAAAAGCTATGTAAATAGTTGTTAATACTGTATTGCTTAGTGAATAAGTACAAAAAATAAAGTCTATACACGTTTGGTGGGGACGCGATCATTTCTTTTTCCCTCTCAAATATTTTCAGTCCTCAGGTGAATTCACAGATGCAAAACTCACTAATACAAAACCTATGGATGCAGAGGGCCAGCTATATTACATTACATTTTGAGATGTAATTAAAAATGACTTAGCCTAAAAAACAAGTGAGCCAGCATTGTGACTAAGTAGTTTAAAAAGTAAGTACAATTTCAAGCTGCACAAATAAGCAATTCCTAGAGGAGTCAGGAAGGCCAATTGTATGAGATGAAAATTAGAGTCATCTGATCATTTTTCTCCTTTCATATATTTAATTTTCTATTTATTAATTGACAAAAATTATGTATCTGTGTGGTGTATAACATGATGTTTGGATACACGTATGCCATTATGGAATGGCTAAGTCAAGCTAATTAACATATCTATTACCTAGCATACTTATCCTTTTTGTGGTGAGAACATTTAAGATCTACTTTCAGTTATTTCAAATATACAATGCATTGTTACTAACTACAGTCATAATGGTATATAAGGCTCATCTGATCTTAAACCTAAATATATTGCTCCTCTTTCCTCTTAATGTGTTTTATAGAAGGAAAGTTCACTGTGTTCATTCTTGCTTCTGTAACCTTCCATCCTTGAGGTTTGCTCAAAAAGCCAGAATCTAACTATTGTAGATGTATACAGAGAATGTCAAATAAACATTGTTTATTTTCTGTATTTTCAACTACACAGTAGAGAAGAACAAAATATATAGTTTTTAAAAAGTATTATCTACTTCAAAGAATGACACTTTTGGATTTCCTAAGTAAAATGAAAAACACAGAGCTTTAACATTTCAAAAAAATCTATAGCTGATTAAAAGAATTTTAAAAATTATAAGTATGAAATAGCAGAATTTTCACAGTCAGGACACAGCAAAATTTTATAAATTGAGGAAGTTTTAAATTATAGTCTTCTGGTTATTCATGCCACATATGGAAATACAAAATCCCTTTCTTTTTTTTCAAGTAGAAGCCGATGAGAAAATATATATTTTGATTTTTCCACGAGAGAATTTGAGAATATTTAAGGATTTTCCTGACTGTTAAAAATGGAATGTATTTCTGAGAAAAAGGAGACATCTTTTCAGGGAAATATAAATTAACATATAAAGCTTCCTAATCCCTTAGGGATAAATGGAGAAAAGATACTAGATACAGCTTCTGTGGGTCTTTTTTTTCTCTTTAAAATCCTAAAAGTTCAGCATTTAAATATCGTATCAATACAATGGTTATGATGGAGGAAAATCCTTACTGAACTGATAGATTTAACTTTAATTTAGTCATTAATCATGTTATATCATGTTTTGTTTTTTCTTTCATATGTCTTATCTCCTTAGTACTAACTGAAGCATCCAGAATGTAATGGCTACTTTACCCTTTTGTACTTTTCTAGTATTTCTCATACTGCCCCCTCCCCATATACATTCAATATGTTTAACAAAAACATTTTACGATTTAAGTGGATTTATCAAGCTTATGTAAATAAGTTCATTTAAATATGATGAATAGAAATGAGATCATAAAAGCTAAGTGGTATATTATTTTTTATAACAAGGGTAGAACTTTGCTTTTCACAGATAATACTTAATAATTTTATAACAGATTCTTTGGTAAATTTATCTAGCCTTCTGTCTGGTTTCTTTGTTTCCTAAACACAGGGTATATGAAGCAAATGACTCTGTTCCCTCAAAAGAATTTTTGGTAATACTATCAATAACTTCTAGATTCTAATATAAATAAATGATGTAGCTTTTCTAGTACACTGCTATGTAGCTTCCTCAAATACTTCTAATACTTACAAAATTCTTAAAACAGATTTTTGGGGTGCCACAAGCCTGAGACAAAACAAATTTCCATTTGCAACCAGAACGAAATTAAGAAAACAGATAAAAACCACGTACAAAATCTCATCGAGGGTCTTTCTGTTTTCTAACTGTAAATGGTATTTATTTTTCAACTTGGATAAGTTTTTTATTTTGATTTTTTATTGTAAGTTGACAATGTGTATTTGTATATGTTTATGGTGTATAAAATGTTGACCATAAATACAATGTGAAATAATTAAATCAAGCTACTTAGCATATTCATCACCTCAAAGAGTAAACATTTTTTGTGATGAGAACATCTAAAAGGTGCAATACTACATTATTAACTATATTCACCAGGCTGTGCAGTAGACCTCAGGAAAAAACAAGCTGCTTCCTCCTGTCTAGCTGAGATTTTGTACCTTTTGACCACCATCTCCTCATCCCCTTTCAGGGTCTTAACTAATGAAGGAAATGCAATAAAGAAATCCTTGAAGGCAAACAATTTCATTTTGTTTAAATAAATTTCATTTTGTTTGTAATAAAAATCATACTACATAGATTTGTAAGATTATTAATTTCTTTTTCATTAAATGTATCACATGAAGTAGGCACTCAATAAATACCTGTTGTATTTATGAATGAAATCATTTACACCTGTCTTCAACTTATTTTTAAATTTTAACTTATATATACAATATATATATGCTTCATCTACATATGTAATATATATACACACATATATATTATGCTTCATCTACAAATTATTTCCTTATCTTCAGTTAAGATTATACTTTAATGAGAGCTGCATCATTAGTCAAAATCATATCTTAAGATATCAGCATATCAGAAAGAGTAGGAAGAATTTTTATTTAAAAGTAAAAACACAAAATTTAAAAACCATTCTTATTTTCAACAGCAGAAATTTACAACTAAAAGGAAAAGTGCCTTGGAATGAACTATTAAATCCAAGCTGGTGTCTGTTCACCTGTCCTTAGAAGTCTCAACTTATGAAGTCCACAGAATTTCTCAAAAAACTGTTTTATCACTTTGAATTTGTCCCCTGCTTAATATCCCTCAAAATATACAATATCTAATAAAAATCAGCGTTTTACTTATAAAATAAATTCATGTATCAGCATGAGAATATGTGAATTGTTTATTTAGGTTTAACTTCCTTCTTACTATATAGATTTGGCTTGTTTTTATAATAACAACTGATATATGATTCACAAAAAACAGAAGGAAAGAGTAAGAGAAAGAGAGAAATGGCGAAAGAGAAGAAAAAAGGGATAAAGAATGAAAGGGAGGAAGAATGAAAGAGAGAAAGAGAAAGAATACCATTCTCTAAAGGAAGAGGTGCAGAAAATTCCATTATCCTTTCTTCTTGATCATGCCTTGTATGATTGGCAGCCAAACTAGCCCATTGTGAAACCCAACGTTTGCTTCCAGATGAAGATGTGCCTTCCTAAAGGGGAAAAATAAGAAAACGAAATCATGCAGCCTGGTCATATCTGAGTCTCATGAAAGACAATTTCATTTAGTCACAGTAACTTGTCATACAAACCCATAAGTAAACCTCACCTTGCTATATTATCATTTATTACATTTTCTCTTACATAAAATAAAAATTCTCTAGAAAATAAAGATTTTCTCTGAAAACAAACTATGTTACTAAATGAAACTGTTTTGTTAAATTCTCAATGAAAAATCTCTAGAGAAGCCAAGGCTTCATATGAAAACTGTAATGACAACTAGGGAGTGGAAAATGACGGAAACTTTATTTTGAACTAGTCAAAACAAATATTTCATTGAAAGTGTCAGATTTGGGCTGGGCATGGTGGCTGACGCCTGTAATCCGAGTACTTTGGGAGGCTGAGGTGGGCAGATAACGAGGTCAGGAAATTGAGACCATCCTAGCCAACATGGTGAAACCCTGTCTCTACTAAAAACACAAAAATTAGTTGGGCATGGTGGCGCATGCCTACAATCCCAGCTACTCGGGAGGCTGAGGCAGATGAATGGCATGAACCCAGGAGGTGGAGGTTGCAGTGAGCTGAGATCACGCCACTGCACTCCAGCCTGGCAACAGAGCAAGACTTTGTCTCAAATAGATTAATAATGACAAGCTAAACACTGAAGAAGTGAAGACTTCAAATAGATAAATCACTACATGATTTCAAGAATAGTATGTAAGAATAGTAAGTATAGGCCAGGTGTGGTGGCTTATGCCTGTAATCCCAGCATTTTACGAGGCCAAGGCGGGTAGACCACCTGAGGTCAGGAGTTCAAGACCATCCTGGCCAACACGGTGAAACCCTGTCTCTACTAAAAACACAAAAATTAGCCGGGCATGGTGGCATGCACCTGTGGTCCCAGCTACTTGTGAGGGTGAGGCAGGGGAATCTCGTGACCCTGGGAGGCAGAGGTTGCAGTGAGTTGAGATTGTGCCACTGCACTCCAGCCTGGGTGACAGAGCGAGACTCTGCCTCAAAAAAAAAAAAAAAAAAAAAAAAAAAAGAATAGTAAGTATAGAGAATGACACACATACAGTGAAGCCTCCTAAGGATACTAAAGCCTGCTGCATCCTTAATCCCATCCAAGGTTTTCTGTTACCTGCCCACATTTCTGAGTAGTGAAGGTGGTACCAGAGCCATGTGGACCATGCTAAGAATACCAACAGTATGAGTGTCACTGACACACGCTTATGTAAAACCATTCTGTGAAGTGTTCTAAATGGCCTGTTAGGTAATTCCTACAGAAGAACCTACTAGGGCTATAGCTTTTGCTTGGCAGGGGTTCAGGGAATAGAGAAGAGAGAAGAGAGTCTATTTAAATTCACATTTACCAAAACCATTCCTGGGTTACTCAGAATGGCAACACATTGCCTCAAATAACTATCACCTGCTTTCAATAAGTAAATTAAACATCTCATAAAACAGGAACCAGAATTAAAATTCTCCCAATCATGGGGAAATAATGAGGCCTAAAATACAGTAATTGCTTTGACAGTTTTCAGGAAGTAGACCATATAAAGAAACAATTTTAACATTAATAAACAAACATATAGGTCTATCTACCTGTATGTAAAAAACAAATCTTATTTATACTTAATACAAATGTTAACATTTTATTTATATTTTCTTTATTTATACCTTAAGATTTTTTTATATTTCATTTTTTTCTTTTATTTTCCATTTTATATTAATTTATATTTGTATGTTACAAATTAGCTTATTTCCTGAGAGACACTATAGCATGAGTGAGAGAATGAAAGCTTCCATTGAATGCTAGTTCTTATTATCTGAGTAAATAAGAATTAATACTTCTGCCTTAGATACTTTTTTTACATTTCTTTTTGACACATCAATGTGGTATGAAATTCTTTTTTTTTTTGAGACGGAGTCTCGCTCTGTCGCCCAGGCTGGAGTGCAGTGGCCGGATCTCAGCTCACTGCAAGCCCCGCCTCCCGGGTTTACGCCATTCTCCTGCCTCAGCCTCCTGAGTAGCAGGGACTACAGGCGCCCGCCACCTTGCCCGGCTAATTTTTTTGTATTTTTTTTAAGTAGAGATGGGGTTTCACCGTGTTAGCCAGGATGGTCTCGATCTCCTGACCTCATGATCCGCCCATCTCGGCCTCCCAAAGTGCTGGGATTACAGGCTTGAGCCACCATACCCGGCTGTATGAAATTCTAATATCATTTCTGATAAAGGTAAAAAACATTTGTTAAGTGCATAAATCTCAGGCAAGTAATACTCTGGATGCTTTACATACTTCATTAAATTCTCTATAAATAGATTTTATCAAAAATGCCATTTGTGTAGATGAGAAAACAGAAGATAAGGGAGAAGTGACTGATTCAAAAGCTCTGAGCTAAAAGTGGCAGCTCTGGGTCAGATCTTTCTAGCTCTACTATACATACTGACTGTAATTATCGTAACCAAGCAATCCTTAATTAGTTTCATATTATTGTAAGTATATCCTGGGCTGTACTGTATTTGCAGTTAATGAGGTATATAAATTGTCTCTATTAGGCAGTGCCCCAGTGCATGTTTCCTGGTATGATACACAGGAAACATATACTTCCAAGAAACCATAAGCAGCATATGTTTCTTGTTTTATCTCATAATGCCAATCAGAACTATGAGCATATAGCTCATTAACTGCTTACTGAAACATAATATTTTCCTCATTGACAAAATAATATTTTTAAAACTTAATAAAAATTAAAGTTGAATTATTATAAAATTGCTTTAGGCTTTCATTAGAAAATAAATTTGTAAAAATTTAGTTCTTAGAAGCATTTTATAAGGAGATACATTAATTGCTTAAAATAATGTAATTTACAAATGATAAGAATTCAGGCTGGGTGCGGTGGCTCACGCCTGTAATCCTCACAATTTGGGAGGCTGAGGTGGGTGGATCACTTGAGGTCAGGAGTTCGAGACTAGCCTGACCAACATGGTGAAACCCTGTCTCTACTAAAAACACGAAATTAGCCGGGCATGGCAGTGCACATCTATAATCACAGCTACTTGGGAGGCTGATGCAGGATAATCACTTGAATTCAGACGGCAGAGGTTGCAGTGAGCCGAGATCGTGCCATTGCACTCCAGCCTGGGCAACAGAGTAAAACTCCGTCTTGGACCAAAAAAAAAAAAAAAAAATAGAATTTATACTTTATGCATACAAATAGGTACACAGAAGAGATGTATACCTCTGAGTGGTGAAATCCAGATGTAGTTAGTGGTTTTCTTTCTTCCATTACTGCTGCAGCGGAACTGAGAGCCCAATCTTTTATTAGATCTTTATGTTTTTCATTGATAATAGGCCTATTATAATCCTGATTGTCATCTACTCCAAACACCTAGAGGGAAAAATTATTTTATAAATGAAAATGAAAAGTCTGAGCACAAGATTAATATGTGAATAATATAATTAACTTCAGAGGCAAATAAAAATATTCTAAATTAATTTTAATAGTTAATTTCAAAACTAAGGAAAACTTCTTGAATCACAGTAACAGCTAATTGTGATAGCTGGAAAGGAAAGCAGGCAGACACAGCTTATGTGAAAGTAATTATCCTTTTTTCTTTTCTCTCTTTTTTTTTTTTAGACAGAGTTTCACTCTTGCTGCCCAGGCTAGAATACAATGGCCTGATCTCGGCTCACCGCAAACTCCGCCTCCAGGGTTCAAGCGATTCTCCTGCCTCTGCCTCCCAAGCAGCTGGGATTACAGGCGTGCGTCACCACACCTGGCTAATTTTGTATTTTTAGTAAAGACAAGGTTTTTCCATGTTGGTCAGGCTGGTCTCAAACTCCCAACCTCAGGTGATCCGCCCACCTTGGCCTCCCAAACTGCTGGGATTACAGGCGTGAGCCAACGCGCCCGGCTGAAAGTAACTATCCTTTTTTTTAACATTTAGCAAATGTCCTGTTTGATTAAAAAAAAAGAAATATTCAAGACATATTTTACTTGTTAAAAGATGTAATACGCCGGGCGCGGTGGCACACACCTGTAATCCCAGCATTTTGGGAGGCCGAGGTGAGCAGATCACTTGAGGTCAGGAGTTCCAGACCAGCCTGGCCAACATGGTGAAACCCCGTTTCTACTAAAAATACAACAATTAGCTGGTACCATGCGCTTGTAGTCCCAGCTACTTGGGAGGCTGAGGCAAGAAAATAGCTTGAACCCAGGAGGCGGAGGTTACAGTGAGCTGAGATCAGGCCAATGCATTCCAGCCTGGGCGAAAAAGTGAGACCCTGTTTAAAAAAAAAAAAAAAAGATTTAATAATGTTGTTAAACACTACAATAATGCAAAGAGTTAGAAATAAGAGTATCTCTTCCGTTTCTTTTCAGCTTCTTTGCTCTATTATTTTTGTGATACCTGTTGGAAAACTATGAACATGTGGCTCATTTTATCTGTTCCTTCCCCATCAAGTGTTTACTATTTACATATCTGAGTTACAGTTACACATATAATTTTCTAAGATGCCATTTTATTATATAATTGCAACATAGTGGATAGCATAATTTTCAAACTGTATTTGCCTAACAATCACTTAAAGACCTTTGTTTGAAATGCAGATTCCAGGCGTATTCAAGGTTAACTGCTTCAAAAAGCAAGTTGTCAATGTCCAACACTTTTGAAAAGTTCTAAATACAAAGACAAACAATGGTGTGCTTTTCTTTTACGGGCAGGACCTAAGTCTTACTCATTTCCTGGCACATAATAGGCCCTGGATGTCGTAGAACAGATTGGAAAAATTTTAGGCATATAAATTTTAACATTCTATTCTGCTATTAAATCTCCACTTTGTTCCCAATTTTTATTCTTTATAGTTATTGTTTGTGGCTCTGATTATTACAATCTAGAAAAATATCATGTGTTTGAATGAGCAATTTGCAGACAGGATCTTTAGGATATAACCAGAGAGCCTTCATTTTCTATAAGGAGAAACTACCTCAGGCTCAACTGTTTTCTAGCATAAAGTTTTAATGGTCTTATAGTACAGCTATCTGATAAGCTCTGAAGTTCACATTTAGTGAAACAGATATCAGACTTTCTCATTCATTAAAACTTGAAAATTTTACCACTAGATGGCCTTATTACTTAATATTTAATTCTAACATAACCATAATTATCAAGAATTATGATTTAATATTCCTTGAACTCCTCAATATTTAAATTATCTTTGCTTTAGGAGCAAATTACATATTATTTTAAATCAAATATGAATTTTAATACATGGAAGCACAGTGTACACAAGGGAAAAAACAAAAACTGCTTAGTTTTGCTTAACATTAGGGTGACTTAACAGCAGTGAAAAAACCAGAGTATAACCTGTGTCCTCTACCTTTATCCCCCACGTGCACAGAAAGCAAATTATAGCTATTCAAGCTATTTGTGTCCGTCTTTAAAAATGTTAATCATTCCTAACTCAAGTCATTGAACTCCAATTTTACTGGTTTATTTCCTTATTTTATAATTACTAACAAAAATCTAACTCAAGTTTGAAAGTACAAATAACCACATAAGTACTTGCATTTTTGCATCTCTTTGACATGTGATTTAGAAATTACCTTGAGTGATTTTCTGATTAATATTTAATTCTAATCAACACTAAAAACTTGATTTCCTCAAACATCTAAGTACCAGCAGTTTCAAATAACATATCATGAACCTCTCTAAATCACTTCTGACACCACTTTGAAATGACAACAAAAAACACACACAGAACTAATCCTGTGAGGAAGCGGAGCTGAAGTTAGACAGAAAATACTTGGATGACGCTCAACAGATTCCTTTTAAAGCATATAGAGACAGCTATACATATATTATTAAGTAACAATTATTTCTTCTCCAAACAAGTGGTAGGGCCTGACCTACTACGCTGTGGGGAAAGAAGTCTTCAAGTTTCACATCTGTTTTGATAATGTTTTGAAAAATTAATGATAGCAATGACTACCAGTCCAGATTGAAATCCGTATCTATTCGTTTCTTCGTCTAAGAAGAAAAACATCCACTTGTGACAACTTTTATGTGAAAACAAAGATATAAATTTTATACTGTCTATATACTTAAAGTTAGTGTACTTTTCACACTTACAAAAGATACCTACAATCTGAAAAAAAAGGGCTGATAATTGTACAGAACTTGAGAGCTCCTCAAAACCAAGATCAAGTATACTAGGTTCTCTCACTTTTCATTCTAGATTCTGGTCCTAGGTGATTTCACCTAGGAACATGCAAGGCTTCACTTCAATTACCAACTATAGATGTTGCTTACTGTCATCCCGCCTGCTGGAAGGGGCTCAAAGATATTTCTTTTTTTTTTTTTTGACATGGAGTCTTGCTCTGTTGCCCAGGCTGGAGTGCAGTGGTGCGATCTCGCCTCACTGCAAGCTCCACCTCCCGGGTTCACGTCATTCTCCTGCCTCAGTCTCCCAAGTAGCTGGGGTTACAGGCGCCCACCACCATGTCTGGCTGATTTTTTGTATTTTTAGTAGAGACAGGGTTTCACTGTGTTTGCCAGGATGGTCTCGATCTCCTGACCTCGGGATCCGCCCGCCTCGGCCTCCCAAAGTGCTGGGATTATAGGCGTGAGCCATGACGCCCGGCCTCAAAGGTATTTCAAACACAGTATCTCAGCTCTAGGCTCATGATTCTCTCCTCTGGTCTGGTCTCAATCAAAATCCCAAATATGTGATAGTACAAAATCCAGGTCCTTCATTCAGCTAGGAACTTCTGTAGGCTAGAAGTCCACAGTGGGGAAGGAGATGAGATACCTAATATTTATGCTTGCACCCCAAGTTTGTCAGTCTCTAATTCTTCCAGAGTAGGATCAAAGGCAGGCAAAATAGGACAGGAGTAGAAAACTTCTTTGTGAACTTGCACTTGCCCGCAGAGCTGTCTGGGCTTGGCAGACGTTTTACAGACAACTCGTTTGTACTGGGGGTAGGAAGTGGCTTTCACATGTTCTCTCCTACAGTTCCCCCGATCTGAGTAGACACATCTCTATTTGTGGAATGAGCCGTGACCCCTCCCCCATGGCCTCTAGGTTTGGGGTAAGAAGGCAGTACCTTCCTCCCTTTCCCACTCCAACAATCACGAAACAATCTTTTCTTCTGAATACATTTGTGGATTTGGCATTTCACATCCAAAGCTCAGTGGCTACTGTAAACAATTTTAACAACCTGTTACTGAGGAATGGCACTTACTCTCCGCAGGCAGGCTACTCAGCCAGTCACTGCAGGGGATTACAAAATCTATATGACGGTCTTTGCTTTTGAGGAGGTTAGGTCTAATAAAGGAGCTTATAAAAAGAAGAGGATGTCACCTGAAAGAACCATGCAGGAATATTCTGTAATTAAAACCAAATATCCATAAGAACCAAACTAGATTTTTAGATTTTAGTTTTAAGTTTAAAGAGACTAAACATTCTCCAGATAACGAACTCGTACAATACAAACCAAACCTATGAAAAGTTTTGATTCTGATTTTTTTCACTAGCATATTATGATCATAGTCATTATTATTTAAAAGCTCCGTCTGTGCAAAGAAAGTCCACAGTGTCCAATTCTGAAATCAGAATGGTGAGGATGGGGGATACAGGGTCAATTTTCGTGGTGATAAATATCCTACCTACTGAATATTTGCAGAGAGGTCAAAATTTACATTTAGTAACATCAGATACAGGAAGCTTGCTGATTGTGACAGAAAACAGAGATCACTGTGCACGAAGAGAAGTGCCGTGGGGTAAGATGTAGGCACAGAAATATAGTAATACAACACAGAGCAAAATAATTCAATAGCAATAGTGTTAATTTATTAGCTTAAAAAATATCCAAATTAGTTGGAATTCAGAATTCATCTTTCCACAGAAATGAGAAATATAATGGCAGATTAAATACCTCACTTCTATAGTCTTATTTTAAAGTAACAACAGAATAATAGTATTGCATTAGTATATCAATCACATCAAGGTGTCCAAGTAAAAATGTAGTCAAGTTTCAACCTCAGATAACCAGAACATCTTTCTCCTCAATGAGCAAATGAGCAAAGACTTCCTGGGTAAGGAGAGCAGGGTCTCTGTTAGATCAAACCAACAGTAGAAGTTCCCATGGCCCATGAAAATAATTTAACACATAATTACTTTAAGAATTATGCAGAATTCTAGCCACTAGGGTCAAAGAACTAAATCAGGATGATTTAAGAGGAGAATTTATTTTTGTAACTGTCCATGAAAATCTAATTTTACTTTTAAAAAGAAAAATCCCTTAAAATTCAATGGAATAAACTATTCTGAATATTAAACACTGTGATTTTTATCGCATATTTGTAATCAACTTTTAAATTTAAAATTC